ATCAGAATGGATTTTAAAAATACACAACTATGGGCTGGGATTGTGGCTCAGTGGGAGAGCACTTGCCTAGCATGAGTGAGGTACTGGGTTCTGTTCTCAGCACCACATAAAAAATAAAGATATTGTGCCCATCTATTACTAATAAAAAAAAATATTTTTTAAAAATACACAACTAGGGCTGGGGTTGTGACCCAGTGGTAGAGTACTTGCCTGGCATGTGTAAGGCCCTGGGCTCGATCCTCAGCACCACATCTAAGTAAATGAAATAAAAAAGATCCATTGGAAACTAAAAAAATATTTTAAAAAAATACATAACTATCTGCTGTCGAAACCTGCTTTAAATATAAAGGTAAGTTAAAGGTTAAAGGATGGACAGACTTCTGACTATGTGGCATGAAAAGATCAGCAAATCATCCTCATGAAAAACAAATATGATATAATCTTAGCAAATTAGGAGGAAGAAGCAGGAGAATTTCAAGTTCAAGGCCAGCCTGAATAAAATAAAAAGGGTTAAAGATATAACTCACTGATCTTTCAAACTTACTCTTAGAAAAGGAATGAGTTCCAGTTCCGATACTGTAAAAAAGAAAAAAAAAAAAAAGAAGAAGAAGAAGAAGAAGTAGTTTGGGAAATTCCCAAATATCTGGAAACTAAACATACTTCTAAATAGTCATGAGTCATGGGTCACAGAAGAAAGCACAAAGTAAATTAGAAAATATCTTGAACTGAATGAAAACAGAACTTAAAAGCACAAATGAGAAGCAGCTAACAGTGTTTAAAGGGAAATTCATAGTGTTAGATTTTTATTTTAAAAGAAAGTCTTGAATCAGTGGTCTATGCTTCGCTTCAAGAAATAATTTTTTAAAAAGACAGGAAGAAAGAAGAAAAAGAAGATCAAATTCAACTCAAAGAAAGTAGAAGGAAGGAAAGGGAATACAAATCAGAAAGCAATGGACCGGTACACAAAGCAAAACAAAAACGATAAAAATCAATGAAACCAAAAACTGGATCTTTGAAAAGATGAACAAAATAGATAAACCTCTAGCCAGACTGATAAAAGAAAAAACATAAATTACCAATACCAAATAGGAAAGAAAAGACCCCTCTGGTCCTACAAAGAAAGTCTGTTCTTACCACTTCTATTTAACTTTGTGCTCGGTATCCTAGTTAAGCAATAAAGCAAGGAAAAAGAAACAAAAGGCACACTGACTAGAAAAAAAAGAAGCAAAACTGCTTTTATTCTAAGACATTATCTATGGAAAAAAATGCTAAAGTCATAAGCACAAGATTAATGTACAAAAATAAATTATACTTTCCCATTAGCATCAAAGAATTGGAAATTTAAAGGGGGAAAAAAAGTACAATTTATAACAAGATCAGAAAATAGGAGCTGGGTGTGAAGTCACATCCCAGCAACTCAGGAAGCAGGAGAATCACAAGGTCAAGGCCAGCCTGGGCAACCTAGCCAGACCCTGTCTCAAAATAAAAAATGAAAAAGGACTGGGGCGCAGTTCAGTGGTAGAGCCCCCCCGAGTTCAATCCCCAGTACCAGAGGGCGTGGAAGGGGAAATATTCAAAGAGAGTAGTAACAAAATATGTACAACATGTGTACCAAAAACCCTAAAATATTTACAGGAGAAATTAAAGGACCAAATAAATGGAGAAATGTTTATGAATCAAAAGACTCAAATACTGACTTGATATTATTTTGATGCCAACCCTCCCTAAATTGATGTATTAGAGTCAATGCAAACCACTCAATGTCTCATTAGGCTTCTTTTTTTTTTTTTTTTTTTTGTAAGAATTAGTAAACTGAGGGCTGGGGATGTAGCTCAGTGACAGTGCTTGCCCAATCTGCATGAGGCCCTGGATTTGATCCACAGCACACACACACACACACACACAAAAAAAAAAAAAATTTAAAAAACAGGTTCTAAAATTCAAATAGAAATGCAAAGGGCCTAGAATAATACAATTTTGATTTCCAGACTTACTCTAAAGTTACAATAATCAAGAGAGTGCTATATAGTCTATA